GGAGGGGACGGGGCCGGCCGGGCTGGGACCCGCCGTGCCCGAGCGGCGACCGGGAGCGGGCTCGATCCGGCCGTGCCCGGGGCGGGGAACGGGACCGGGTCAGGCTTAGACCTCGGGCAAGGGGCAGGCCCGGGTCAAGCTCAGTCCTGGGCCAGGATTAGGCTGGACTCGGGCCCGGGATGGGCGGCAGGTCGCGGTCAGGTTTAGTCACGCCCGGCCGAAGCCCGGCGCCGGGGCTGGGACTACCTGGTGTGGCTCCGAGCGGCCACTGGCCAGAGCTCCGGAAGGTGAAACCACCCGCGGGGAGACTCTGCGGGAGACACCCCCACACCAGGGTGCGGGCGAGCGGGCGCTAGAGGGTTGGGGTGTCAGGGTTTGGGGAGCGGCTGTGCCATGAGGGTCACCCGTTCGTGACACGTGGGCTCGGGGCGCCCCGCAGCACCTGCGGGTATCGGGGTGACCTTTGTAAGAGCCAGGAGAAGAGAAGCAGCCCATTGGGAAGGATCAGCCGCAGCAGCATCAGTGTCGGGAGCAGGGGAGGGCGTGAGACGAGCCCCACGGCAGCCCCAGCGGAGCCTCGGCGGCCGGTTCCCAGGGCTGGCAGCGTGGCAGGGGAGTGACGTATCAGGAGCCCATTGCTCGAAGACCTTGGTCCCCGGGAAGGCGCAAGGGACGGAGTGTGCGGGGAGACTGTTTGGAAAGCAAACAAAGACAAAGAGAAGGAAACCTGTGCAGGGCAGGTCTGCGCCGGGTGGTTTATGAACCGAACGCCGGTTTCAGTTCTTATCGTGCCGTCACTGGAAAAGAAAGAGCGGCCCGGAGCTTTGAAGGGCTCCAGCAAATCTGCGAACGCCTCTTGAGTGTTGCTTTAGAAAAAAACCCACTGCGAAAGCAAGTCAGGAGCTGCAGCGGGGGGTTTGGTGAAGCCATGGCCCGCAGCGAATGCGGTTAGTCACCCGAGGTGTGCGCTGGGCTGGCACCCACCCTCCTCGGTGCGTTTTGGGATACACGTCGTGACAGGCAGGATTATTTTAGCAAGTTCCTATCACTGCTTTGATGATTAATTCCAGCGTTGTCTTGAGGGGCAAGGAAAGAGCTGCTGTATCCTTGGTTTGGGAGGCAAGGCCCATCAGGTGGGTATTTCTCGGGGGCTGGGAGTTGCGGGAGCCCGGTGCTGGTGGCTGGGAGGGGAGGAAGACTGCTGGCCCTGCTCCACCCGCCCTAAGCGTGGCCTCTGTCAGCCCCGTGCTGGGACTCATAACTGCTGGCGGATGGGTTTATTGACTTTATTGCTGACAGCTTTGCCTGGGTGGTTTGTTTTCCTTTTAAGCCAGCTCTGCATGTTTGTGTGTGTCAGGTGCAATCCCAGTGTGTCTCTCCCCCATACTGGCTTGAAAATGGGCTGTCTGGGGAATCACAGCACCAGTGTGACAGATGTAGGTTGGGGGGCCTTGCTGCTGCCGAGGTTGTGTGTAAGGGGACCCTGTGCTGAGGGTCACCCATGCCCTGCTGAAGCTCCCCGGGTCTGGGGGAGCAGCACTGCCATCCCAAAGCAGTTGTCTGCAAAGATGGTATTTGCTCTTGGAGGTGACGTGATGGGGGTGAGTGTCTCTGAGCCTGGCATAGCTGCGTTTGTGGGGGAGCAGAAATCAGCCCTTCTGTGAGCACGTCCCATGTGAGACGGGCTGCCTTCGGCTTTGCGTGGTGAGATGAAGCTGCACCAGGAGGTGTGCTCCTGGCTTTCAGGCTCCTTAAAACTCCTCCAGTGCAGACCTCGGTCGCTGCTCGGTGGGACGCTGTGGCCATGCATCCCTCTACAACATAGCTGAGCATCCTACAGCCATCCAAGGCCCTGGACATCTTGGTGTGACAGCCAGAAAGGGAAACCTCCCAGGTGGCAATGAGGAATGTATGGGTGTGGGACAGGTGAACCCAGCCCTCAGCCAAAATGGCTCGGAAGTATGTGAGGTGCCTTTGATTTTTATTTGTGGGTAATTACACGGGTGGGAAAATCCTCAGGGCGGGAAGTGCCTGAGGAAGGAGGAAGGTTTGGCTGTCCCGTCGGTGCCCTGAGGACAGCTGAGTGTCAGTGACACGGCACCGCGGCAGTGGTGCCTGTAGCCACGCTCCCGTGGAGGCCGGGGCCGGGCAGGGCTGTCTGTCGCTCTCCTGGCCAGAGGGATCCCTCCAGCAGCCCAGGTACGTGTCTGTCTCCTGAACACTGCTCCATGTGTTTCTTGTTCCTACTGTATTTATTAGGCAGAAACGGGTGTTGAGGCTCTGCTGAAGCAGTTGAATATCCTGCGTGAGCTGTGCAGGTAGCGTGCAGTGGCATAATCCCCGGCAAACCTCCATCCCTATTAAAATACCTGTGCCTGCCTCGCTGAACACTGCTGCTTTGTGCCTGGCCGCCGCGCGTCGCTTGGCTGGTTCCATCCCTCCCCCTGCATCGCCCAGCTCTCCCTTTCTGCCCCGTTGGCTCCTCTCTGCTGTCTGCAGCAGGTTTTTATTTGTGGGTCTTGCTCATCAGAGAAGGCTCTTTGAAAAGCACGGAGAGAGGTGATGCTGCAGTGGGGCACAGCGAGAGGAAGGACATTGCTGAAAGTCCGGGCTGAGGATGAGGAAGGCAGCAGTGGCGAGGCCGATGGCAGCGTGGCATCTCGGGTTAGTGGCTTGCAGCGAGGGGAGATAAGGCTCAGGGGGATCCCATGGTGTGACAGGAGCTGCTTAAAGCACTCCAGGAGGGCTGGGAAGTGCTCCGAGGCAGTGGGAATGATGGATTTGGCTTCGGAAGACATCAGAAAGGCAGATGGATGATGTCTAGAAGCGCTGAAAAGCTCCAGAGGAGGAGAGTGTGTTGTCCGGCATGGAGAGGGCGAGAGGTCACAGTCCGAACAGCGCGGGAGGGCTGCTGGGAGGAATGTCTTTATCTCAGCAGGAAACAGCAGATTAGGAAAATTTTAAAAAAAAACACCAACAAACAAAAAGATGCAGAGTGGAGTCAAAAGAAAAGCAGGAAGGAGACAAAGTCAAAGCGCTGGGATTTTCCCAGGCCTGGGCATGCAGCATAGGCTGGCAATTCAACTCCCTTTTCTAGCCAGAATGGAGGCAAATACCCACCACCACCACCACCCCCCCGAAATCTCTGGTTTAGCAGAGCCTGGCCCAGAGGTGTTAGGCTGGCACCAGCTACATGGGTGAGCCAGGCTCAGGAAAAGCCTCAGGACGCTGCTTGCACAACAGTCGGGGACACGGCGGCAGCTCACTGACCTCCGGCGCAGCCTCAGTGGCTGCAGCCGCAGCGTTATCCCCAGGAATAAATGGCAACGTCCTTAAGTATAAATTGAAAAGGACTCTGTGTCTGAGTCCATTACTGGTTTGCAGCAAGCACCGCTCTGATGACTGTAATGAAATTACGGGGAGAGAAAGAGTCTGGAAGGCAGTATCCCGTACATCGATGGCAAAGTTCAAGCTAATGGCTGGCTGCTTGATGATTAAGTGATGATTAAGGCTCGGGGTATACAGTTACTGGGGCTCGTGTAATCCATGCCAGTTCTTAAACTGGTGGTGACTTGATCACCCACCCGTGTCCGGAGTGCGGAAGGGTGACGGCAGAGGCAGGTGCCTTCAGCTGGAGACGGGCTGGGCGCTGCCTCGCGCAAATGGGACGTTTTGCAATTCCCGCTGCTGCTATTCTGCAGCCATCAGCATGGCTGTGGTGGCCACGGTGGCCAGCCAGGTGGATTGCAGCATCCTGAGCCCGAGAGTGGGCCGGGCAGCCTTTGCTGTCCCGTGACACCCTTGTGCAGGAAGTCGCAGCACCAGGGTCGGGGGCCCTGGGCTCCCCTCCAGGGTGGGCTGATGCCCAGGGTGGGGAAGCACCTTGTGCAGGGCTTTAAGGAAACAGTGCTGCTCGCCTGGTGCTGTCTGCAAGAGCACAGTTGAGGAGGAGTTGTTAAAAATAAAATTTAAGGAGAAAAAAAAAAAAAAAGAGGTTGAAATAACTTAAAATGTCTGGAGGGAGTGCCAGGAGCGATGAATGTGGGTGCATTCCTGTGCACTCTTGGCAGAAAGCATGAGCAGCAAAATGTGGAAAAGCCCTGATAGTCTGCGCGGGGCTGTCCCTCTGGATCTCTCTAATCCCTGGTGAGACGCTCTAAAATGGGCTGGGTACTTGTCCAAAGGAAGAGGAATTGCCCAAACGGGCAGTAGTGCTGCTTCTTCCCAGCTCAGAGGGATATCTCTGGGTATTTCTCTCCTCACTGGGCAGGAGAATTCCCCTCATCCCCTGAGCTGCATCTGGACAGAAACATCCCTGCTGCTGGGGGCAGGTATAATGTAGCCAGCAAGGATGGCCAAAGAAAAAGATAAAATATTGCCTGGCCTATTGGTTTTCTGACTCCACCTAGAGTTTTGTGTTGCTGGTAGGTTGAACCCACGTGTATTTTAAAAAAAAATCTACGTAAAATGGATTTCTTTTCACCAAAATTTTTCCAGAAAATTTGTGTCGTGTTTCTTGACTGGTGCTGGACTTGCAGACTGGTTTTTGGAGGCAAGCTCCAAGGGGACGTGTCGCTCCTTGGGGGCACACTCTGAGCCCTGCGTCATGCTCCGACTCCTCCTCGGCAGCAAGGAAGCCCTGGAGCTCAGTCTGAGCGAGCTTGTCCCGTGTCCTGTGACTGCATCGAGGATTGACCCTTTCCCCGAACTGCAGACTCATTTCTCGTGATCCCGTGACAAAGGTGTTGCTGCTGGAGCAGGAGCGGGAAGGTGATGTCATGACATGGGAGGGAAAAAATCCAAAGGTTGCGGAGGGCAGAGGAGCGTGGGTGCTGCTGTGGGCAGCGATGGGTGTCGTGCTTCCTCGTGAGTCACCCCAACAGGGTTGACGTTTCACTGGGAGCACCGAGGTGTGGGGCCTGATCTGGGGCTGACTCTGTCGGGGGGGGATCTGTATCCCCGTGGTGGGACCCTCGTTGTGGGTGGCTGGTGTTTCCCACCGAGGGGAAGATGCTATCAGCTGCCACCCTGCCTTGGGCACCCGTGCCAAAAGCCTGTGGGGTGCGTCCAGCCGCGTTGGGGTGCGGTGCTTCAGGAAGGGCTTATCCCCGAGCCCTCCTGTGTTGACTGAACAGTTGGAAATGTCCCAGGAGAAGTCACAAAGCGTCCCTTGGCTCTGGCAGCCTGCAGGATGCCGGTGAGAGGTGTGGGAAGCCCAGCCAAGCGCAGAAGGCAGTGTAGGTGCCCCCAGCTTTGCGGCCGCGCTGGTCGGAGTTTAATGGCTCGGAGATCCTGGTGTAAATCATTGCCAGCGTGGCACGGGGTGCAGGCGTGCGTGGGACGGGGCAAAGGTGGGTCTGGCTGCGGGGGAGACCCCATGCTGCGGGTGGAGGGAGGGGGATGCAGGCAGGCGGGAGCTGGACAGGGCTGAAGAGCCTGATAGAGGGGGGACGTTGCCACGGGGCTCCGTGGCACAGGTGAGAAGGGATCAGGCTTGTGGTGTAAGGATGGTGAGTAAGGGTCAGGTGCTCAGGGCTTTGCACGGTAGGAGAGCACAGTGGAGCGGTTATGGAAGAAAAGGGAAGTCATGGAGGAAAAATCCCTTGAGAATTAGTAAACAGGTACAAGCACAGAGCAGGGAATTCCCCCTGCTGCTGGATCTGGGAGGACGGCACTGGCTGTGTGCTGCTCCACCCCGTCTGATCGGGACAGCCACAGCAGATGCCGCCTTGGAGATACCGGCCACAGTGAGACGGTGAGTTGGTGGTTGGTTTGGGGCTTCCCTGAACCCTCAAGTTGCAGCGCCCTTTTGCCATGCTGACCAGGTCCATCTTGGTGGGGCTGTCCCCGCTGCTCCAGACAGCACCAGGGATGCTGGACCCAAGGCAGAGACAGCAGCAGCTCCTTTCTCTGGCTGCTGACGTCAGGGCACCAGGGTTACTGCAAAATCAGAGATAAGAGCACTCTGGAAAGCCAAAAGAAGAGCTAATTCAATGGAAAGACAGACTTGTATGTCAAGTCTCCTGCCTTAATCTGATTTCCGAGGCTGCAGGGTAGCACAGCGAAGGATCTGCGTAAAACTTTCAGGCGCAGAGATTATGTAGAAGCTTAAATCCTGCTCACTTCCAGGGGTGAGGTGCCCAAGGGAATACAGAGAGATTTGGAACAGGCAAGGAGGTTTAGACACCGTGGGTAGATGTTACCAGCCCTGCCTGTTTTCTGTTCCCACTGTGCATGCAGCACAATTTTTCTGCCCCAAAGCCTTCACAGCAGGTTTGCAAGTGAAATCTCAGCTGGCCAATGTCCATTTGTGAAACGCCTTGCCAAATAGCTCAGGGATGGGAGCTCATTTGGATAAACAGATAAGGAAGAAACCCAACAGCTGCACATGTAGCAAGGATTGCTCTCGGGATGTTGGTGAGGACCTTTCGGAGGCAGCTTTTGCCGCATCCTCAGCTTGCTAGGACCAGACTGAAGGAGGGCAGGGGATGCCTTCCCCGAGGGGCAGCCAGTGCTGTACGGCAGCAGCCCGGCTCTGGCAGTGGCACTGGGCATGGTGGGCTTGCCCCTGTCCGCTCGCCAGCAGCTCGTGTTCGCCCGGTAACCCTGGACAGACCATGGGAGCAAAGACTTTTCCCGGCCTGGGTTTGTGTGAGCGCCGACAGCCCCGACACGGGGCCGGAACAGCCCTCGCTGAGCTTTGGCAGCGGTGCTGGGGCACAAGCAGTGATGGGGAAGTTGCTCTGCAGATTTCTCCTCTCTGGGCTTGTGTGTGTGTCTTTCCCTGCAAGCAGCTGGAGCTGGTCTGTTTTCTGGGAATGCTAGTTTATTCTGGCCCTTGACCTTGCGATCTAGGCTTGCTCTTTTGAGCTGAACAAGCAAACATGAAGCTTGGGACCGTTGACCTGGATGGCCACGCTGAAGGGTGAGGGTGTATATGGAGACACAACGCAGCAGCGGCATGTCCAAGGGTGGCTTCTAGCACAAACAAGCATCGAGCAGCCGGGGCTGGGGAAGAAAGGAGGAAATCTTGGCACGTTTGCGCAGCTGCCTGCTGGTTTTGGCACATGCGTAAAACAGGGAGGCTGCTGCAAGGTTCTCTCGGGTGGTGATGGGGGAGCTTTGCTGCGGGGATCCGAGTTACTCGCCTGTGGTTTGCAGGAAGGGATTGCAAGCCAAGGTCAGGGAGGCAAGTGGCCAGGAGATGCGATTCCACGTGTTTATTTTTAGAAAGCGAGCACATCTGGTCCAATTCAATCGAGGTGGTGGAAGAGGACTTCCCACGCATGGCCTGGCTGGTGGGGAACGGCAGTGCTTGGACGGCTCCGAGCCCGCTCGGCTCGGTGGGATGCAGCCAGGGGACTCACCACAGTGTCTGTTAGTCCGGGGTGGGCGAGCACTGGCCAGAAACAAGCCGTGGGATGCACCAGGGACTTGAGTTTGGAGCAACCCTTGCAGGCAGCGGCCGGGGGAAGCCACAGGGCTGGCTTGGCAGGGAGAGCAGCAGTTTTGCTTTCTCTTCTCGGGGCAGGGAGGTGTTGCAGGGCAGGCAGCCAGCACCGCAGGCAGCCCTGCTGTCTCGAAAAGGGGGAAAAGAGAACTTGTACATCTAGAGGTTTGTTTCTGAGCTGTTTCTGGTTAGTTTGCATTGACAACAGCTGTTTGTCTAAGGCAGCGCAGCTCCACGATGAGTGGAGCGTTTCTCTAAGCAGTGAAATTTATTTTGGAGGCATTTTTTGGGGGGGTCTGTGAAAAGGTCAAGAATCACCCTCCTAAGGATGGTCAGTCTAAGCCCATAGCAAACATTAGTTATTTGGCTCTTTCCTAAGGTTTGTGGATATTACAGCTGAGAAAACAGCAAAGGGTCAAATTCGGATTTGGTGTTTCAGTTTGATAGGATCCCGCAGTGCTCAGGAAGTTGGAGATTTAGGATCAGCACAATGTTTTGCTGTACTTTCTGCAGCGCTGCAGGAGTTTTGGAAGGGGCCGGAGAGGAGCCTCCCCTTGCCCTTTGGTACATGATTTGTGCAGCTGCTCTGTGGAGAGGGAATCTCATCCGTGTGCGATGTAATGTGTCTGGTTGTACTGTAGCTGAACGGAAGCTTCCTGTGAAGGGGGGAAGAAGGAAGAGAGTCAGTGCTTGCCTTTCTGTGCTGTGAGCCTGAAAGTGGCGGGGAGGGGACCAGGCCAAGCCTGGGATAGATGCTGCTGCCCAGGTCACGATGAGAGTGACCAGCAAGGATCCTGCTGCTGACTGCCATGCACTCCCCACAGACACGGTGGAATTAGATTTCCAGCATTAGCAGAATAAGACAATGTTATTTTGGCCACTGAACCAGTAGCTGTGTAGCCTTTGCATCTCTCCATGCTCTAACCATCCCTTTCTGTCTCTTCCCAGAGCGCGCCGCCTGCCGCGGGAGGGGACCACACGCATGCTAGCCGGCCTGCACCCCGCCTGCCCTGAGCCATGCTGTAAGGTGGGGGCAGCCCAGCTGGCCAGCCAGCAGCGGGAGCCATGGCCCAGTCTCGAGCCAATGGCTCGCACTACGCCCTGACGGCGATAGGGCTGGGGATGCTCGTCCTCGGCATCATCATGGCAGTCTGGAACCTCGTCCCTGGCTTCGGCCCCACGGATAAACCCACCACCCACGCTGGGAACAGCAGCAAGCCCGACCGCGGCACCGGTGGCATTTTGAAGAGCAAGACCTTCTCGGTGGCGTACGTGTTGGTGGGGGCGGGCGTGCTGCTGCTGCTCCTCTCCATCTGCTTGAATATCCGGGACAAGAAGAGGCAAAGCGAAGATATCGCTCATGTGCAGCACCAACCGTCTGCAGAGCCCTCACACCAGGAGGACAGGTGAGCCCTGCTGGGGAGAAAGGGAGCGGGATCGAGTGTCGGAATGAAACCAAGGGCTGTTATTCTTCCTCGAAGAGCTCAGGAGCGAGGAGGGTAAGGCTGATGGCAGAGTGTGCTAAAATAAAGGCAAGCACGTCTCGTGGTTTAGGGGTCAGATACGTTGTGGAGATCAGGAAGGAATGACTCCAGCTGTATTTACGGTGCTGTAGGTGAAAGGGAGGGTTGTTTGTGTGTAAGCTGGGGGCCAGCTGGAGCCGTGGCCAGGCCAGCGTGGCTGAGACGTTCTGCTCCTGCTTTTGTTGGTACAGTTAGTGTGCTGAGAGGGCACGCTGGGGCCGGTGGTTAATGGTTAACACCGAGGAGCGGGATGGCTGCTGCAAGCCCTGGGCGAGGGGCTGTGGAGGGAGAGGAGCTGGGGATGCAGGACGTGCTGTCTCACGGGCTGCAGCCAGAGGTGCCACGCAGCCTTTCAGCAGCAGCTGGGAGTTTAGACCCGGTGCGAGTCTGTGTTTGCTCAGGGAACTTCAGCAAGTGGAGTAAAGGCTCCTGCCACAGCAGGCATGGCCTGAACAAACACAGGCACAGGAGGAGCCCCCAGCCCTCTTGGCAGTGTGGGGGATCCGTGTGGTCCCCAGCGCTGACTGTGCCTGTGTGGAGAGAGACAGCAGGGCACAGGGACAACGTGGGGTGTGAGGTGGCAGGAGGAGATGGTGCCTTTGCTGGCTGCTGCCTAGGGGATGCTGAGGGGGAGAGCTGCCGTTGGTGACTGCAGAGAATGACTCTGTGTGCAGATCCAGCCAGAAAACTCTTTTTCCCTGTTAGGTTGTAAGGGGAACTTCATAATGCAAAAGAAATGCCAAGTGTGTGTGTGCAGGCGACGCGCAGGTGCCTGTGGCGTAGATGTCAGTGTATTGCAGACCTGAGTCTCTTTGCAGAAAAATTCAAGATAGATGCTCAACACAAAAGGCATCCAAATGACAAAGGCAGAAGGGTGATGTCCCTTTCAATTTGGACTGTCAAGAGGGAAGACATGTTCTGCTGGGGGAAGAAATCACTGCTGTGTAATAGAAGAGGTGGTGTTTGGGCAGAGAAAGTGATGATCAAAGGCAGTTGTATGTCACAAGAAATAAAAACATGCCAGAATATAGGTAGGGTTGTGATCTGTTCTGCCAAACAAAAAGGTACGGGTGTACAGTGTAGAAGGGTAAATAATCTGTTAAGGTTTTGACAGGAGAGTGGGTTTATTCTCTCCATCCCCTACCCCAGCGAAGCTGAAATGATGCGCTGCTGACAGCCTTCATTTTTCCCCCTCTAGTCAAGAAGAGGATGAAGATGTGTCTTCCCAGTACTACGTCCCCAGCTACGAGGAGGTGATGAACTCAGGCTACTCAGAGCCCAGAGACTCGGACAGGAGCAACAGGATCAGCGTCTCCCTGCCCTCCTACGAATCGCTGACGGGACTCGAGGAGAGCAGCCAGGCGCCCGGAGCTGCCGGCGCAGAGCCCAGCCCGGAGCGGCAGTCCAGCCGGCACAGCTCGCGCCTCAGCAAGCGCCTGAAGCCGCTCAAGGTCCGCAGGATCAAGTCGGAGAAGCTGCACCTGAAGGACATCAGGCTAAACCTCGCAGAGGGGAACAGCACCGCCCCTATCACGATAGAGCCGCTGACCCCCCCGCCCAAGTACGAGGAGATCCAGGAGAAAGCGCCAGAGAGGCAGCAAATAACTTAAGGACAAAAAAAAAAAAAAAAGGTTAAACAACCACACTAAGAGGAGCTCGGTCTGTGGGTGCAGGAGCGGTCAGGGCTCCCTGGAAGCTGTGATGTGGAGGACATGATGGGTGCGTAGTGCTGCAGCACGGGGACAGGACAAGCTTTCCCCGGGACAGGGTTTCACAAAAGACTGTGGGGAAAGAAACCCGAATGCTGATAGGTCTGCTGCTGTGAAGTAAACGAGGGCTGGAAGTACTGAAAGTGTTATTTGTGGTGTTTTAGGTAAGGACCACTCAATGTATCTTCTCACCTGCTCTCCCCCTTGCGCAAGCAAGACTTTTCCAAGCCACCAAACTGATACTGAACAAGGATTTTCCAAGTGGAAAAGGGCAACACTCCTTTTTTTGGTGCCTTTTCTTATTAAGGGAAACTCTGTTGCCAGAGTAGTGCTGCAGGTTCTCCTGCCTGGGGCTGAGATGGTGGCCCAGGGCCAGCCCCAACTCCTGCCAAGGTCTGTCTGTGCTTGTGGATGGGAAGTGGGCTGAAAACGGGCCCTGTGCTCCTCGGGGAGAGGATGAATTTCTTGCCTCAGTTGCTTTCTCTGTTGTGTTTTGGGCTCTGATGCGCAGGACAGATCTGTTTGAGGCAAGTGGATAAATCCAGGGGGTTGGGAGCTGGATGCGCCGCTGTCGGGAGGTGTGCAGGGTGAAACGACTGCTGAGCATGCTGTGCGAGCAGGCCTGTTCCAAATAAATATTTTGTACATTGTGTTTGTGTGCGTGGTTGGCCCTTCCCAAGGTTTGGAAGCCAGAGCACTCTGCAGTAGTTGGCTGGTTTAGGGCAGATGCCGGCCCCAGCAAAGTGACTGAGGACAAAGTCATCAGCATAATCACCCACGGGCTCCCTCGTGTGGTCCGAATGTTGATGGTGGGGGGAGAGAGTGGAATCTCCCATGAATTTGGGGCAGATCTTGGTGTGGCCTCTGGGCTGCCAGGAGGGATGGGGCTCGGTTGGTGTGATGCTGATACTGATGTAGTTCAGCAGAGGTTGACTTGGCAGTATGGTTGATATAAGGTACAAGAGGAGTGCAGGTGACCAAAACAAAGACAGAGAAGGGATGCTGGCCCAAATCCACATAACAGTTTCTTTTGTTAGTTATTATTTCATATTGTCTCTCTTAATTTATGTTGTTATATCACAGGAACTTCACTGTGCTGTGCCCCAAGGCACGATCTCAGATGGGCCAAATAACTTCATCAAATAAGGGACTCGTATACTGAAGATAAGTTAAAAAAAAAAAAAAAAGAGTAGCAGAATATACCCCAGTTTGAGGCGTTTGGGGAACAGGGTCCCTTGTGGTTCTTGCTGAGGGGTTGGAAAGGTGGCGCAGCTCCTTGGAAGTTGTCTCCCAGGTGTGTGTACCCCTAAGAGCCTGCCCTCAGCAGGAGGCAAGGTATGAAGTCCTCTCTCCCTGGTGAAGAAACGCGACCCTAACAGTTGTCTTAGAAAATCTTAATAAAAGTGAAGCTTCTTGTCTGAGCAGTTGGGAGTTGAATTTTCATTGAGCTTCTTTGCCAGAAAGTCCTGTTTAATGAAATAGACTGTCAAAAGCACCTTTCTTAATGTCTCATGTAGGAAACGATCTGAAAAAAAAAAAATATGTAAAGTGCAATGACTGCAGTGAAACAGGCTGTGACTCATGTAGTAATTATGCCAGAGATGCCCAAATGGCTAATGAGTATCTCTGGCTACTTGCATACTTGCCCTTTGGCAGTATTTGGAAAGCAGAGGGAGACATGGGGTGCTGAGAAGTGCGAGTGAGCGTCGCTGTCCTAGGATGGCTCATCCTCATGGCACTGCAATATATTGTAAGGGAATAGTTACTCCTGACGTGTGGGGGAGAAGAAAGGGGAGAGCAGGCAGCCGTCAACTCCACGCATGCCCTACACTGACCCCCTGGCTGTTGTTCCCAGGTACAACACGCTGGTAGGTGAGAAATGAGGATGTGTTTCCCCACGCAGTGTAGAGGATTGCACGTGTATCTCGGCGTCTCTGGAAGGTCACTGGGGTTCGATGGCAACTCACGAGGTGTGTGGACCTGGTATGAACACAACCGAGGGAGTCTGATGGTGGTTAGTTTTAAAAAGCATCACTGCAGTGCGGGGTTGGGGCTGGAAAACCTCGGCTGCTGTTTTCCAGTGCAAAGCCCTTGCAAGGAAATGGGATGAAAATGCTGGCAGCGGGGCCAGCACTGGGGCATGTGCCAAAGCACCACTCTCTGGTTTGCAGAGGAGCGCTCCTTTGCAAAATCTGCTGCTTCTGCCTTAAAATTAAGTGTGATAAAATCTTGCAGGGCTTGCTAGCTGCTCTCTAACAGTTTTGTTTGTAGGTTGGTTTGCAGGTGCCGCATGGCCACAGCGCAGCTGAGCGTGCCCCCAGTCAGCAGAGCAGCCTCTTTGTCCAGGGTTGGCATTCCGGTCCTGCCAATTATCGGAACAGCCCTGGGAATAGCAGGAAACCTTTGTTTGCAGGATATTTATAGATGGGCAATTTATTTTCAGGGGGAAGCGCTGTGGTTTTGCATACGTGCATCCGAATGGATTCGCTGCTGACTTGCAGCACGATGGGGCAGTAGCTGCTCTTGCAGCACGATGCGAGTTTGGCCGAAGGGTGAATTTGTGCTCCTCTTCCTCTGTGTTTCAGCCAGATGATGTGGGAGTTTCTCACCCGCGGGAGCAGAACTGGGCCAAAAAGCGATCTTGAGGTTTGCTGTTAACAAAAATGCAAGGTTTAGGCTTGTTTCCAGCAGGCCTGGGCTGCTTCTCAAAAGGATTATAGTCGTGTTGTGTATGGCACAGCACTGGTGTTGAGGGAAAATGCTGTGGCTTGGGGCAATATAGGGCTGATGTGCTTCCCTCCTTCCCAAACCCGTGGGGGGGATGCGGGTGCTTGAGCCCAGCTCACCAACCCACCCACCTCCAACCAGTCAGCTGTGCCGCAATCGCACTTGAAAGCCATGCTTAAAAATTCAGAAAGCAACGGAGGGAAGGCATGTGGACTAGCAGAGCGCAGTGGTGGGAGCCCGTGCTAATTAGGGACTGTCATTTGGGGTGCTATTTGCCAGCAGCGAAGGGGAAACAGGTTTAGGAAGTCGGGGTTGGGTGGTTGGATGGGGAGAAAGAGCCTCATGTGTTGCTGGCATCAGTGAGGCTGAACCAGAGTCTGCTGGGGGTTGGGTGGTGGGTGTGTTATTTTCCTTTTTTCTGCTGAAAAAGGGTGTGTGACAGCCTGGAATGAAGGCACGTTGATGGAGGAACGTGCTGATGGATGACGGGGTCCCCATCACCAGGTGGCAATATTTATCCACTTGCCTGAGGTTGCGAGACCTGTTTGTGCATGCGTGCATGGTGTTAAATAAAAAATAAGTAATAAAGAGAGAGAAAAGTTCACTGACAGCTTGTGCGGGCCCCTGTGAGTTTTTCTGATACGTGGGGAAATGTTCCTGTGCGTGTCACCCTCTGGCAAGGAGAGCTGTGGCCAGTGCCGGAGCGGAGCTGTGTTGTGCTGCCGGGCCAGTTGCTTGGAAAAAGGGAAAAAAACCAAAACAAAACAAAGAGCCAAACGCACCCAGGAGGGCAGCAGCGGGCTCCAGTGCGGCCGGAGTTTCCAAGGCTACTGCGAGGCTGTGGCCATGCTGCCAGCCGGGGCAGAGCTGCCTTCGGGTCGATTTTGTAGTTTCTAGAGCACGAGTTGGTTGAGATATTCGTGGCTCTGTTGCATGTGTTGGATGGGGGATTGTGAAATGAGGAGTTGGGGGGTTTTTTAATGCAAGCCTTGCAGGGGAAGCAGCTTGGACAATGCAAGCCTTTCTGAGGAGCTCGGAGGGGTGTTTTCAGCTGAAACCCTGCACCATGACGATAGGCAGGCACGAAGGGTCCGACATCGTCCTGCAGGTAGGGGCGAGGAAGCCGACTGGTGTGGAATGGGTGGCGGTTTGGATGTAGGGAGTGGAGTGCACTGGGGCCCATGCAAAGCATGGGGGCTGCTTACGCTGGTGTACAACACGGAGAGGGGGGTTTGGCAAATGAGTAACAAAACCTGAGCCGCTTTCCGGCAGGTTTCCCTGCTTGCCCATTGATTGCCCGCTGCCAGTCCGCAGGTGTAGCAGATCATCACGCAGCCCTCGAATTCCGCGCCTCAGACAACAGCTTTGTCCTTCGGGACCTCAACTCCCCCCACAGCACCTTCGTCAACGGCTGCCAGGTCCAGAATGCGGCCGTGAAAGTGATTCCGGGGGACATCCTGCGCTTCGGCACGGGGGGAGCATCCTTCGAGCTGGTGGTGGATGGGGCTGCCCAGGTAAGGATGGGGTGCTGCTCCCCAGGGAAGGGAGGGGCTATGCTGCTGCCCAGGGAAGGCCCCAAGAGCAGGAACAGGCTCCCAGGCTTGTCTGGGCGATTCTCTGGAAAGGTTCACCGGGGGTGTGGGGGGTGTGGGGGGTGAGTGAATGAAAAGCTTGAGCTCCCTCTGCTGAAGAATCTCGGGCAGTTCAGTAGGGAAAAAATAGTACAGGACAGGTTTCCCAACATCAAGTCGGACGTGAGCAGAGATGTGTCTGGAAAAATGTCCTTTTTCTCTGTTTGCATTTTATCTTTCCTCAAAAGCTACTTACTGAATCACAGCATCATTCAGGTTGGAAAAGACCCTTGGGATCATCGAGCCCAACCATCAGCCCCTCTTACTAGCATTTTGCTTTTGGGTTTTTGTACGGTTAAGGATTGGTAAGTTCCAGTGTTGTTTTGGCTCTTGAGGAATCCAATAAAATAGATACTGAGACAGAGTCCCAAAAAAATGTGTGTGTGGTGTGCCCGGTAGTGGGGGTCGCATTGCCTGGCCTTCTAACAGTGCCCACATACAAATAAAACTGAATTGGAGTCAACCAGTTTGTGTACCCAGATACTGGGGTTGGAGGGCTTGGCAAGATTCCTGGTGTAGCAAGCTGAACTGCTGAATCCAAAGTTGTC